TGTGGAAAAACCCTGCAAATAACTGTCTGTGTGCCTGTGTGGGTGGGCCCTGGGCGGTCTCCGTGTGCTGCTGTGTGGGTGGGCCCTGGGCAGTCTCCGTGTGCTGCTGTGTGGCTGGGCCCTGGGCGGTCTCCGTGTGCTGCTGTGTGGGTGGGCCCTGGGCGGTCTCCGTGTGCTGCTGTGTGGGTGGGCCCTGGGCGGTCTCCGTGTGCTGCTGTGGGGGTGGGCCCTGGGCGGCCTCTGTGTGCTGCTCAGTGCAGGGAGCATGGGAAGAGGCAAAGCACAAGTTGACAAGGTCTAGTGGGGAAGCAGTGACACAGAGGCAGCTCTCAGCTGTGAGCTGCTTGTAGCCTCATTAGGACAGTTGAACATTTATGGGGACTTAGTGTCACAAGCATTGCTTTTGTGCTTCACGTACGTTCTCATTCATTCCTCACGTCAGCCTTTGAGATGGGAGTTACTCAGCCTGGTTTACAGATGGGAAACGGGTCCAGAGAATTTCAATAATTGCATAAACCGTGTACCCACTAAGTGTCAGGGCTGGACATCGAGCCCAGGGCTTGCTCTAAAACCAGTACTCTTTCTGCTGTTCACAATTCAAGAAATATTTGGGAAAAGGAATCAGTCAGGTGTAGGGCTGAACTGAAATGCTTACATTTGAACTGTGGTAGAGCCTGAGAAATAAGGAGAACTCAGATTGCCAGTGGGAGTTCAGGTTGGTAGAATCATTAAAAAAGCTTGAAGTTGTCGGGCTGGGCGTGGTGGCTCATGCCTGTAATCTCAGCACTTTGGGAGGCTGAAGCACGCGGATCACCTGAGGTCAGGAGTGTGAGACTAGCCTGGCCAACATGGCAAAACCTCATCTCTACTAAAAATACAAAAATTAGCCAGGCGCCCCAGTGCGGGGGGGAGGGGGGGGGCGCCTGTAATACCAGCTACCCAGGCGGCTGAGACAGGAGAATCCGTTGAACCCGGGAGGCAGAGGTTGCATTGAGCCGAGATCATGTCATTGTACTCCAGCCTGGGCAACAAGACCGGAAAAGAAAAGAAAAAGCTGGAAGTTGTCTTCTAAACTTGAATATGCTCTCAGCAACCTAGAAATTACCCTCAGCACACCAGTTCCGCTCCTGAATGTCCTTGACAGACTCTGACACGTGGGCTGGGGCGTGTCCAGACATACTCATGGCACAATTGTTCAAAATACTTTTTAAAAGATCAATAATTGAAATACTAATCATCAACATTAAGTGAATAAATTGTGGAATGCATTAAGTCCTCATTTAATGTCATTGATAGGTTCTTGGAAACTGCAGCTTTAGCAAAACAGCATATAACAAAACCAGTGTGTTTTCCTCGCCAGCGTTGTTGAAGGAAATGATGTTGTCTGAGGACCTGCTCTGTGTCATTTCGCTTACAGCTGTTGTTTCCAAGAACCTGTGGCCGTTGAGTGAGGACTTGCTGTACCATACAGCAGTAGAAATGAATGAGCTCGACAGCTTCCTTTTATCAACAAGGAGAAATCTGAGAAACATAAGTGAAAAAAAGCAAGTTGCAAAAGTACACAGTTAGCATCATACATTTTAGTAAAAGGGAAAGATAAACAGTACTAAATTATCTTGTGTTTAGCAATGCATAGATACGTGATTAAACCGGCAATAAAAGCGAGGAAACGAGAAAGGCAAACTGCAGTCCACTGGCTCCATCTGGGGCACAGGGGGCAGGAAGTATCAGGAACACAAGAGGCCACTGGCTGGGTGACCGATGATTTATTTCCTAAGTTGAGGGGTGGGTTCTCGGGTACGTTTCATTGCTGGGCTTCGTAACTGCATGGATCTATGTACAGGTGCACAGCTGTGCCCTGCGTAACGACACTTCACTCAGTGGTGGACCGCCTGTATGACAGTGGTTGCAGAAGACTATGATGGAGCTGAAAAGATTCCTGTCACCTGGTGTCTTAGCGTCACACATTATGTTTTCTATGTTTAGATATGCAAGCACTCATCACTGTGTTACAGCTGCCTGCAGTGTTAAGGACAGTCACAAGCAGTACAGGTTTGCAACCCAGGGGCAATAGGCTAGACTGAGCTTGTCCAACCCGTGGCCCAACAAAACTTTGTAAATTTTCTTAAAACATGAGACTTTTGGGCCAGGTGTGGTGGCTCATGCCTGTTATCCCAGCACTTTGGGAGGCCGAGGTGGGTGGATTACTTGAGGTCAGGAGTTCAAGATCGCCCTGACAAACATGGCAAAACCCTATCTCTACTAAAAATACAAAATTAGCAGGGCCTGGTGGTACACGCCTGTAATCCCAGCTACCTTGGAGACTGAGGCGAGAGAATTGCTCGAACCTGGAATCAGAAGCTGCGGTGAGCCGAGATCATGCCATTGCACTCCAGCCTGGGCAACAAGAGCAAAACTCTGTCTCAAAAAAAAAATTTTTTGTGTGTGATTTTTTAAATTTGCTCATCAGCTATTGTTAGTGTATTTTATATGTGGCCCAAGACAGTTCTTCTTCTAGTGTGGCCCAGGAAAGCCAAGGGATTGGACACCCCTGGGCTAGACTGCATGGGTGTGTCATAGGCTGTGCCATCCAGGTTTGTGTAAGTACACTCTATGATGTCCACGCAACAGATACATCGCCTAATGACATATTTCTCAGAACGTCCCCAATCACTAAGTGACCCACGACTATATATATAGCATATTCTTTTGTCTGTGTACCGATATTTCGTAATTTCAGAAAGAAAAAATATCAAGCTTGGGGACAGGAAGGGACATTGGTGCCTCTGATGGGTTTAGAGAAATTCTGAAAGGGCAGCAATATAGATGGGTTGCTGTGAAGCTCATTTATTCAGGATGTGGGGTGAGCACAGCAATCAGATGTCAGAAGCAACAGAATCAGAGCAGGGACAGGATGAGCACACCTGGATTCTTCACCTTCTGCCTCAGTTTCCTCTCCTCCAAAACGGGAGTTGTGATAGAGTCATGTGTCCCTTAGCAACAGGGATATGTTCCGAGGCATGCTTTGTTAGGTGATGTTTTCATTGTATGAACAGCATGGTATGTACTGACTGGCTTAGGTGGCAGGTACAGCCTGCTCCACATCTGGGCGAAATGGTGCAGCATGTTGTTTCTGGGCTACAGACCTGCACCACGAGTGACTGTACTGAATACTTCAGGCAGCTGTAGCACAAAGTTAAGTGTTTGTGTATCTAAACATAGAAAAGCTGCTATAAGAATATGGTATTATGATCTTATGGGACCACTGTTGTATTTGCAGTCCATCATTGACTAAAATGATTTGTTGTTGTTTTTGAAACAGTCTTGCTCTGTCACCCAGACAGGAGTGCAATGACATGATCTCAGCTCACTGCAACCTCCACCTCCTAGGTTCAAGCAATTCTCCTGCCTCAGCCTCCCAAGTAGTTGGGATTCTAGGCATGCGCCACCATGCCCAGCTAATTGTTGTATTTTTACTAGAGGAGGGATTTCACCATGTTGGCCAGGCTGGTCTCGAACTCCTGACCTTGGATGATCCACCCGTCCTGGCCTCCCAAAGTGCTGGGATTACAGGCATGAGCCATTGCGCCCAGCCTGACTAAAATGTTACGTGGTGCGTGACTGTATCTGCCACACATGGTTGTTGTGAGGATTTGACACGAGAAGGGATCAAGTGCCAGGTATGGTGCCAGCTATGTGAGTACTCAGTGACTGATTCCCTGTGCGCTGACGGGGCACACACCTGCCAGGGTGACTGATTCCCTGTGCGCTGACGGGGCACACACCTGCCAGGGTGACTGATTCCCTGTGCGCTGACGGGGCACACACCTGCCAGGGTGACTGATTCCCTGTGCGCTGACGGGGCACACACCTGCCAGGGTGACTGATTCCCTGTGTGCTGACAGGGCACACACCTGTTAGGGTGACTGATTCCCTGTGTGCTGACGGGGCACACACCTGTTAGGGTGACTGATTCCCTGTGCGCTGACGGGGCACACACCTGCCAGGGTGACTGATTCCCTGTGCGCTGACGGGGCACACACCTGTTAGGGTGACTGATTCCCTGTGCGCTGACGGGGCACACACCTGTTAGGGTGACTGATTCCCTGTGCGCTGACGGGGCACACACCTGCCAGGGTGACTGATTCCCTGTGTGCTGACGGGGCACACACCTGCCAGGGTGACTGATTCCCTGTGCGCTGACGGGGCACACACCTGCCAGGGTGACTGATTCCCTGTGTGCTGACGGGGCACACACCTGCCAGGGTGACTGATTCCCTATGTGCTGACGGGGCACACACCTGTTAGGGTGACTGATTCCCTGTGTGCTGACGGGGCACACACCTGTTAGGGTGACTGATTCCCTGTGCGCTGACGGGGCACACACCTGTTAGGGTGACTGATTCCCTGTGCGCTGACGGGGCACACACCTGCCAGGGTGACTGATTCCCTGTGTGCTGATGGGGCACACACCTGTTAGGGTGACTGATTCCCTGTGTGCTGACGGGGCACACACCTGTTAGGGTGACTGATTCCCTGTGTGCTGATGGGGTACACACCTGCCAGGGTGACTGATTCCCTGTGTGCTGACGGGGTACACACCTGCCAGGGTGACTGATTCCCTGTGTGCTGACGGGGCACACACCTGCCAGGGTGACTGATTCCCTGTGTGCTGATGGGGCACACACCTTCCAGGGTGACTGATTCCCTGTGTGCTGATGGGGCACACACCTTCCAGGGTGACTGATTCCCTGTGTGCTGATGGGGCACACACCTGTTAGGGTGACTGATTCCCTGTGTGCTGATGGGGCACACACCTGTTAGGGTGTGGTAGGGCCTCTGGGTACAGGGATGACAGTGTGGTTTAACAGTAGAAAGAGTGGAAAATGTATTATTTTCTTAGCCAAAATTCTTGTTGTACTTAGTAATAGGTGTTGACAGCTGCATTACTTTGACTCCGTCCATGTCTGTCTGTTGTTCTTTCTTTCTTCTAATTTTAGTACTGGGAAATTCGGTGCGTGTTTTATACCAGGACTCTGTAAGCAAAGTGATCTAACCTTGTATGCATCACGGCCCGGGCTCCGGCTGTGGAAGGCTGATGTCCACGGAACTGTCCAAGCCACCTTTATCTTGAAAGATGCTTTTGCCGGGGAAGTCAAGCCTTTTGAACTGCACCCGCGTCTGGAATCCCCCAACAGGGGAAGTTGCAGCTTACCTGAGAGGCACCTGGGGCTTGTTTCCTGCTTCTTTCAAGAAGGCTGGGTGTTGAGTTGGAATGAGTATAGTATCTATCTGCTAGACACAGTCAACCAGGTAAGTGAAGGGATGCTGCCACATCTTTGGTGTCAGTGGGCAAGAGAAAATTTCTCTATATGCTGCTCAGGGCTCTCAGAATGCTAAAAGGAGCAGTATTGATTTAAGCTTGATTTTCCTTTGGGCCAGTCAAGGAAATCAAATGAAGGTTTGGTAATTTTTATAGATTTGAAAAAAAATTTGGTTTTGACATTTAGGTCCAATTATCTGCCCAGAAATTATGAAGGTTTTTTGTATGTAAGCACAAAATTAAACTTGTTCTTTTTTGGGGGGGAGGGGAACTGTGTCCTCCTCTGTCACCCAGGCTGGAGTACACTGGCATGATCTCGGCTCACTGCAACCTCTGCCTCCTGGGTTGAAGTGATTCTTCTGCCTCAGCTTCCCGAGTAGCTGGAATTATAGGCACGCACCACCATGCCTGGCTAATTTTTTTGTATTTTTAGTAGAGACAGGGTTTCACCATGTTGGCCGGGCTGGTCTCGAACTCCTGACCTCACGTGATCCACCTGCCTCAGCCTCCCAAAGTGCTGGGATTACAGACATGTTTTTTGTTTTTTGGGTTTTTTGAGACAGAGTTTCGCTCTTGTTATCCAGGCTGGGGTGCAATCCCATGATCTCGGCTCACTACAACCTCTGCCTCGCCTCCCAGGTCCAAGAAATTCTCCTGCCCCAGCCTCCTGAGTAGCTGGGACTACAGGCATGCGCCACTACACCCGGCTAATTTTGTATTTTTAGTAGAGACAGGGTTTCATCTTGTTGGTCAGGCTGGTCTCAAACTCCCAACCTCAGGTGATCCACCCATCTTGGTCTCCCAAAGTGCTAGGATTATAGGTGTGAGCCACTGTGCCCAGCTTGGTCTTGTTCTTTATCATCTATTTGGGTCATGTTTTTTCTGACTACTAAATTACTGTGAGCACATACAGTGATAACTCAAATATGACAGACGCAGTAGCAGAGACCGGGCTCAGTGAGCCAAGATTGCACTCCAGCCTGGGTGGCAGAGCGAAACTCTGTCTCAAAAAGACAAACTGAAAGCAGAAACAGCAGCAGAGACCCTCAGTCCCTGGAGGGCCCCCGCCCCGCCGCGCGCCCGTCCTGTTGTGTCGCCCGCCGTCTCACGCGAATGGAGCCGCATCATTTTGCCACTTGTTCATTTGTTTGTTTGTTTGTTGTTTTTATTCTGTTTTCTTTACTTAGCAACATATCTTGGGCAAATTTCCAACATCATTAAACTCATGGTAGGAAACAATTTCTGCTTAAATCAAGATGATAACAGATTATCATTAGGGACAGATTCAGGAATTTTAAACAAAGTTGTTTAGATTCAGTTTCTCCTTAAGAGCAGAGTTCTCGCTCTTTTTAAAATAACCTCCCTATATGGGTACTGGGTTATAACTCGGGGGAAAAAAAAGAGAGAGAGAGAGAGAAAAAAATAATCTCCCTGCTTCACCCTCTCAGCTCCTCACCCCCAGACTCAGATCAGGCCCTGTCCTGTTCACATTCCTCCATTCTGAGCTCAGCAGGCCTCTGACAGATGACAGACACCCCATTTCTTATAAGCAGAGCCTCACTATAGAAAATAAAGGATTTTCGGTCAGGCATGGCTCATGCCTGTAATCTCAGCACTTTGGGAGGCGAGCCAGGTGTATCACCTGAGGTCAGGAGTTCAAGACCAACCTGGCCAACATGGCAAAACCCCATCTCTACTAAAAATTACAAAAATTAGCCAAGCATGGTGGCATGCGCCTGTAGTCCCAGATACTAGGGAGACTGAAGCAGGGAGAATTGCATGAACCTGGGAGGCAGAGGTTGCAGTGAGCTGAGATCACGTCACTGCACTCCAGCCTGGGAGACAGAGTGAGACTCCATCTTAAAAAACAAAACAAAACAAAACCGAAAAGAAATGGTTTTCTTATATGGTGTGTGTCAGCAGAAAATGAAGTCATCTTCCCCTCTTTGAAGCCTTCTTAATTATTATCAGCCATGCCTGGTAATACTGGTTTTGCAGAAAGAAAACTGGCCTGGGAGGGCAGGGGGCAGAACTAGACTCGACTCTTCTAGCCTGGTTCTGCCTTTAAGCAAGAGTCTCTTACCGGCCTGAGCCTGGTTTCCTTTCCTGTAAAATGGTGTGGGGGTGGAAGAAGCATCGACTTAGAGGGATCACCAAGGGCCTTTTAGCCTTGAGTTTGTTTATTTTATAAGGGATATTTTGAAAGGGATCTTTGCACCCTTTCCTCAGTTAGAGAGAACTTCTTTCGCTGGGTGCCTTTTGAACTTACGCGTGCTTATTAATTAGTAATTTGTTTTTTTCATCTGAGCACTTACCCAGTGCTTTACCCAGTAGGTGTAATTACCTTCATTTTATAGGCAGAGAAGTGGAGACAGGGGACTGTCTGGGACAGATGTTGCAGTGACAGCGTGACTGGCAGCTTTCAGAAACAAATGTTACGTTGCAGCGGTCCGTCAGTTATTTAAAATTAGCAAAGAACATAGACTCTCCTTATCTTCTACAACAGACTAGTCTCTTATTTGCACTGCTGACTGCAAAGCAAAGACTTCTTTAAGTCAAAGTGAGCTCAGGATGTCCTGTGTTGTGTTGCCACCCGCTTTCAGATAATGCTGGAGGAACTCCCTTCCCTTCGTGTATTCATTTGAAACCCATGAGTTGCGGTGCACGCTGACCTCTCCTGCAGGAGTGCACACAGCAGGGCACCCAGATGTCTCAGCACATTATTCCAGCCCAGGAGTGGGGCACCAAGCGAAGGTTTGGATGAGGTGCTGTGAACCCTGAGAACCCTGGGCATTGCAGCGGAGGCGAGCGTGTCAGAGGCTGCTTCCCATGGAGGTGGCATCTGGAGAGAGCTGGAACTCCCCCAGTGAACAGGGACAGGAAAGGAATTTGAGCAGAAAGAGAAGCACATGCCAGACGCATGAGCCATGGAGGAACAGGGCTGGGACTGGCCTGGCAGGGCTGGCGCACCTGCAGCAGGGGTGGCATGTGGGTCGGAGATGACTGAGGCCCCACCCTGCCAGGGTCCCGCTCACCAATCTGTCAGATGTCACCTGACTTTGGATGGAATTACTCTAGGAGTTTTCAGAAAGTTGCCATAGTAAAGTGCAGTTATCATTTGACTGATTTTTGGACCCTCTCATATGCATTTTTATACTTTGAGCTCTTACCGTTGTTTAGTTTTATGACTTTTTTTTTTTTTTTTGGACAGGCTACAATTGCTGGTTTGGAAGGATCTGGTGATATTGTGTCTGTTTCATGCACAGAAAATGAAATATTTTTCTTGAAAGGAGATAGGAACATTATAAGAATTTCAAGCAGGCCTGAAGGACTAACATCAATAGGTTTGTATTTATTATGAAATGTGCCATGTGTATGATGGGAAGTACTATACTCTGTTGTTTGTAATTGTGGTTAATAATTGATCAAACTTACCACTGGGCCAGGCACAGTGGCTCACGCCTGTAATCCCAGCACTTTCGGAGGCTGAGGTGGGTGGATCACTTAAGCTCGGGAGTTCAAGACCAGCCTGGGCAACATGGTGAACCCCTGTCTCTACCAAAAATACAAAAAGTTAGCTGGGCCTGGTGGCGTGTGTCTGTGGTCCCAGCTACTCGGGAGGCTGAGGCGGTGGATCGCTGGAGCCTGGAGGCAGAGGTTGCCGTGAGCCAAGATCACAGCACTGCACTCCAGCCTGGGTGACAGAGTGAGACTCCATCTCAAAACCAAAACCAAAAACTTACTATTATTTTGCTAAACTGTTGCAACTTTATTTAAACATGGAGGATTTGGAGGGTTTTCTCTGAGTCTTTAAATAATGTTTTCAGTACATTTCCTGAAAGTTACCTACTTTAAGGCTTACATCAGATAGTCTCACATTTGATGGAGTTGCTTTCATGGTTGTGGAAGATGGGGAGATTGAGAAAGGAGGAAGGAAAAATCAGAAACCACTTTATTGATCCCTGTCTCCGTCTGAGACAGTATGTGGGATTAATGCTCCAAAAGACATAGATTTGCATAAGGTTTTAGATTTAAATCTGGCATCTGGGACATGCCATTTACCCTGAGCTCAGTTCTTCCTGGTAGGATGATTTTTCTCTGTGCTTTTGACATTTTTTGGTAATTCATATAAGCCCAAATTTTAATGAGCAAAGAATCCTAACATGTGTCCTGTGCAGACATCCACATGCTTTATGTATTCAGGTCCTCGGGGAGTCTTTCCTAATGCTGGCAGCAGCAGCCATGTGGACCCACCACCCTCCTCCTCACTGCCGTTGCCTCTGAAGTCAGAGAGTTGCCCTCTCTGGGGTGAATACTCCAAAACATAATTTGTGTAAGAAGTAAATGAGCTCTGACTCTTGAGTTTATGAGCTGGGGAACCTCAGACAGTATAATCAAAGGGGCAGCACGGCTTTCAGGAAGCGTGGTGACTTGGAGCCACCAGGCTAAGCTCTAGACCTTTGCTGCCCACACAGCTTTCTGCAGTGATGAAAATGCTCTCATCTGCCCTGTCTGATAGGCAGGCACTGTCCATGTGTGGCTGCTGAGTTCTTTCAGTGTGGCAAGCGCAGCTGAGGGATGAATTTTAAATTTTGTTTAATTTTTTTTTTTGAGGTGGAGTCTTGCTCTGTATCCCAGGGTGGAGTGCAGTGGAGCAGTCTCTGCTCACTGCAACCTCCACCCACCAGGTTCAAGTGATTCTCCCGCCTTAGCCTCCTGAGTAGCTGGGATTACAGGTGTGCATTACCACGCCCAGCTAATTTTTTGCATTTTAGTAGAGATGGGGTTTTACCATGTTGCCCAAGCTGGTCTCAAACTCCTGAGCTCAGGCAATCCGCCCACCTCCACCTCCTGAAGTACTGGGATTACGGGCATAAGCCACTGTGCCTGGCCTAAATTTTGTTTAATTTTGATCAATTTGAATTTAAATAGTTACAAGTGGCTGGTGGCTGCCTATTGGACTGGGCAATTCTAGGCAAGATCCACCATTAACTTGTGTAATCTTCAACAAGCTGCTTCAGAGCAGAGTCTGCCCCTCCAATTTCTGGTGCACACTCGATAGGCTACAGTCTGCCCCTAACACATGCCCTCAATAGAATGGGGGTGCTTCAAGGACAGGAATTCCTGTGCCTCATGGCCAGCAGCCAGCCCTGTCTGACACTCAGAGGGTCCCTGATAATGAAAGGATGGCGAATGGATCAACGTGGGCTGCGGTCCTGGGTTGAGGGTGCTGCAGCTGGGACTGCTCTGGCCGGAAGGATGAGTCCACCGCAGTGGGACGCTCACTGGCCCTTGGTATCAGGACAGGGGACAGGGACTCACATGCCTGCTCCTTACTCTGCCTGGATGCTGACTGTGTAGTAATGGACTTCTCTGTCTTGCATTTGTTCTAATGGAAAATTACCTTTCCCTCTTTCCATTTCAAGAAATTTAATTATAGGTACACGTGTATTTTTCCAATGCCCTTTGGGTAATGCTAAAGTATGTTCAGGGCATCATCTTGAGTATGAAGCGTAATTAAGCTGTGTTGTTATATACAGGCATCTCTCACGCAGAGTGAGAAGTGCTGTATTCTTCGTGGTATTTTTTTCCTTTTTTGTTTTTTGAGACAGGTCTCACTCTGTCTCGCAGGCTGGAGTACAGTGGCATGATCTCAGCACACTACAGCCTCCACCTCCCAGCTCAAATGATTCTCCTACCTCAGCCTCCTGAGTAGCTGGGACTGCAGGCATGCATCACAACACCCTGCTAATTTTTTGTATTTTGCTAGAGACAGGTTTTCGCCATGTTGCCCAGGCTGGTCTTGAACTCCCGAGCTCAAGTGATCTCCCCACCTCGGCCTCCCAAAGTGTTGAGATTATAGGTGTGAGCCACCGCACCCAATCTGTCCTTACTATTGAGTTGCTTTAAAAAGACAGCTATGGCAAATTACTTTACTGAATTTAATATATGAGCTTCTTAGAGAACAAAAAACTCCTTTGTGTGAGTCAGTTTTGCTGGTTTCTATGAATTTAGAATCGTTCAGTTCTCTAGCCGGCTGGCGCCTCTGTGACAACCGGTATTTAGGGCTCCCAGACCTGATTAAGTGCACATCAGCTCTCTCGGATAACCAGTGGTAAAACCAGACTCTTCTTTCTCAGTGAGAGATGGTTTGGAGGTGTCCGGATGCTCAGAGCGAGTCCACGTGCAGCAAGCAGAGAAGCTGCCAGGGGCCACCATTTCTGAGACAAGGCTCAGAGGCTCTTCCGTGGCCAGCTCCGTGGCCAGTGAGCCAAGGAGCAGGAGCAGCTCACTCAACTCCACCGACAGTGGCTCTGGGCTCCTGCCCCCTGGGCTCCAGGCCGCCCCTGAGCTGGGCAAGGGCAGCCAGCCCCCCTCGCAGAGGTTCAACGCCATCAGCTCAGAGGACTTTGACCAGGAGCTTGTCGTGAAGCCTATCAAAGTGAAAAGGAAGAAGAAGAAGAAGAAGACAGGTACCCTCTGTCGCTGGCACTACCTACCTGGGGGCAGTCTTTCCAGATTCTCTGGGAATGCTACTGCTCACTGAGTGAGCACTGGCCCATTCATCCAGAAGCAAAGAACACATACATTTCTTCCCCAAAGGAGCTTTACTGCAAAATACTTCACACATTAACAGAAAATACACACACACACACACACACACACTGTAAGGTCTAAATGATGATGGGACATATACCTGTGTACTCACCACCCTGTTTAAAGGATCTTGGTATTGTACTTTTCAATATTTAAATTAAAATGTTGACTTATCCATGTATACCATTGATTAAACCATCGATTCTGTGAGCCTGGGCGGAAAGTTGTGGAAACAGGAAGATCTATGCTGGTAAATAGTTGAGACATTTTATGTTTAGTGTTGGATATGCTACCAAATATGGGATTTAACATGGAATATTTTTCTGTTTTTTTTTTCAACATTTAAATACAGGGGGTTCATGCACAGGTTTGTTACATGGGTACACAGCACCCAGTGAGCACAGTACCCAGTAGGTGGTTTTGGCACTGCCTCTTCCTCTTCTCCCGCTCTGGTCCTAAGCCCAGTACCCAGTAGGCGGTGGTTTTGACCATGCCTCCTCCTCCTCTCCTGTTCTGGCAGTTCACATTGTCTGCCGTTCCCATGTTTACATCCATGTGTCCTCAGTGTTTGACTCCCACTTCTAAGTCAGAACATGCAGTATTTGATTTTCTGTTTCTGCATTAATTGTTTAGGATTATGGCCTGCGGTTCCATCCATGTTGCTGTAAAGGACAGGATTTCATTCTTTATTTTTATTTATTTATTTATTGAGACAGAGTTTCACTGTTGTTGCCCAGGCTGGAGTGCAGTGGCACGATCTCAGCTCACTGCAACCTCCACCTCCCAGGTTCAAGCGATTCTCCTGTCTCAGCTTCTTGAGTAGCTAGGATTACAGGTGCCTGCCACCATGCCCAGTTAATTTTTTGTATTTTTAGTGGAGATGGGGTTTCACCATTTTGGCCAGGCTGGTCTTGAACTCTTGACCTCAGATGATCTGCCCACCTTGGCCTCCCAAAATGCTGGGATCACAGGCATGAGCCACCGTGTTTGGCCTGGATTTCATTCTTTGCTATGGCTGTGTAACGCTGAATTTGTTAAAACCTTTTTCTCCTTGGTGCCTGTCGATCCTCTCTAGCTAAAGATGACTGCAGGCCGGGCGCGGTGGCTCACGCCTATAATCCCAGCACTTTGGGAGGCCGAGGTGGGTGGATCACGAGGTCAGGAGATCAAGACCATCCTGGCCAACATGGTGAAAACCCGACTCTACTAAAATACAAAAGAAATTGCTGGGCCTGATGGTGCACGCCTGTAGACCCAGCTACTCGGGAGGCTGAGGTAGGAGAATCACTTGAACCTGGGAGGTGGAGGTTGCAGTGAGCTATCGCGCCTCGGCCCTCCAGCCTGGGTGACAGAGCAAGACTCCATCTCAAAAAAAAGATGACTGCAATATTGAAGGAAATGTTATTAGATATTTAAACATTTTAATAGTTATAGGAATTGGTTTGTGACCCAGGTGAACATCTCAGTTTGTCCCCTGGTTTTTCTTAGCTGGTATTTCTTGAGTTAGGCCTCAAACCCATGGGTGTGTACAGTACTTGCATGCATAGAAAGCATCTCGTTGTTGGGATTATTTGTACTTAAGAGGTTTTTTCTTCATTCGCTAAATACCCTTTATTTAAAATATTTTTTCTTGAGCCAAAAATATGTTTGCGAATTAGTCTCTTACTATTCATGCAGAACCGTGCCTTATTTTGAATGTTCTTGTTCTGAATTAGAAGGTGGAAGCAGGAGCACCTGTCACAGCTCCCTGGAGTCGACACCCTGCTCTGAGTTTCCTGGGGACAGTCCCCAGTCCTTGTTGTCCATGACCTCAAGTGTCCTGGGCAGTAGCGTGGATCAGTTAAGTGCAGAGTCTCCAGACCAGGAAATCGGCTTCAGTGGTGAGGTGAACGGTGTCCCGCGGGAAAATACTGACTCCAAAACGGTTAATATCCTGGAGGTGCCGGAATCTGTGCCTGACTCGCTGGCTGAGGAAGATGCCATTAGAACGGAAATGCCACACTGTCACCACGCACATGGGCAGGAGCTGCTCAATGGAGTGCCAAATTCACCCTTGCTCCTGGGAGAAGATGTGGGAGGCAGCGATGTCACAGGACTTGAAGATGAGCCTTGTCCTGCAGACGATGGACCAAATAGCACACAGTTACCCTTCAAAGAATTGGACGGCTCTCCTGGGGCACATGATGGGGAAGACATCCAACCTATTGGCTCCCAAAGCACTTTTTGTGAAGTCCCCCTCCTGAACTCACTCATGGTGCCTTCCAGCCTCAGCTGGGCCCCAAGTGCTGAGCAATGGCTGCCTGGGACCGGAGCTGATGAAGGCAGTCCTGTGGAGTCCAGCCAAGAACAGAATGTCCTATCCAGCGTGGGGGCCTCTGGCCACCTCAGCGCAAATCTCTGGCATGCTGTCACTGATGATGACACAGATCAGAAAGAAACACCCATTTCTGAACGTGACTTGGGGACTGTGGGAGGACAGTTGACTCCAGTCTCTGCCTTGGCGGCCAGCACTCACGAGTCTTGGCTTGAGCAGCTTCCACGGGATCAGGTACTGACGTCCAGCGATGAGGAGGACATCTATGCCCACGGGCTTCCTTCTTCATCCTCAGAGACGAGTGTGACAGAGCTTGGACCTGGTCGCTCCCAGCAAGACCTGAGCCGGCCAGGTACGGATGATGCCGGGCTGCTTAAGCCAGATCAGGTATGTGGGCTCAGATGGTGGGAGACATATAATAAAGCTTTCTTAAGGGTAGTAATTGTTGGCAAGACTGATTATTTTCCGTATGGAAAGAAATTCTGTTCCTACTGCAACATCCATAGGCCACGTTCAAGTCTGGGTTTCAAGGGATTTCCAGCATAGTGACTATGAGTGGCTTGAGCTACTTCTGACCTTTTATACCCTGCTCAGTCGCCTGCCTCCTGACCAACGTGGCGTCTTGCTGTTTCCTCTTACCGCACAAGCGCAGGCGCGAGTAGGCACTTACTGTTAGCCATTGTAGGGCAGGGCTGAATTGGCCTGGGGCTGTCTCAGAAAACCAGTGGGCAGGACTGTCCACTCGTGGAGTAGAGAAAGCTCTGAGCAGTTTGGAGGCCGGGAGTCTTCTGTCCTCCTCCTCAGACCTCTTCGAGGAACCATCCGCAAGAGCATGGCCATTTCCAGAACTTCTGTCTCCTCAGCCTCCGCAGTGGCCCCAGGGGCCACTGCAAGCTACGGGAAGCGGTTTGGAGTAACCAGTCTTTGTAGGTCCACCCAGCACATGTAATTAGGGATGATTTTTAACTGTCCTTGAGTATTTTATATTAAAAGTGATTTTTTTTAAAGCGCCTACTTTCCTTAGCAATAACTATTACTAGATGTATTTGGTTTCAGAGCTAACTGTATTGTCATGTCTCCTGCTGACTGTAGATGTGAGGTGTGAGTTATGGCTGTGCATTTACAGCTACGTGTGCTCCCCACCACGCACACTGAATTCTCTCAGTGCTACGGGGTGGCGCTTGGTCAGTGCGTACCATGTGCAGGCATCCTGCGAAGCACCTTACAGGTTCGACTCATTTACTTCTCTAAACACAAGCTGTGCAGTAGGCACTCTTATTGCCCCATTTTACAGAGGAGGAAATTGAAGCAGAGAAAAGCTGGACAGCTTGCACAAGGTCATATAGCAAGTGAAGGGCGGGCCGCAGGACCCCCTCGCTCATCCTGTGTGCTGTCATGCCCCAGAAGTGAAATGTGCTGCTTACTTGTTTTGAGACAGAATGCCAAAAGACTTTTTTTTTTCTTTTGAAACAGGGTCTCACTCTGTCACCCAGGATGGAGCACAGTGGCATAGTCATGGCTCATTGTAGCCTCAACCTCCCTAGGCTGAAGCGATCCTCCTGTCTCAGCTTCCTGAGTCACTGGGATACAGGCATGTGCCACCACGCCCAGCTAATCTTTGTATTTTTTTTTCTGAGATGGAGTCTCACCCAGGCTGGTAATTTTTCTGTTTATTAAAGAGCAGGGGGTTTGCCTTATTTGCCAGATTTGTTGCGAACTCCGGAGCTCGAGCAATCTGCCCACCTCAGCCTCCCAAAGTGCTGGGATGACAGATGTGAGCTGCTGTGCCCGGCCAAGGGTGGCCTTTTATTCAGTCATCCGGCATTTATCTTTTCAACCCGGTGGTTCCTGAGTGGCCTTGACTGTCAGTCTCTGTGTTTGTGCTGGGAACCACAGTGCAAATGGCAGCTAGTTGTGGATTCCATCTTCCTGAGCCTCAGAGTCTTGAGGGGGAGCCAGGTACATGTTCACATCCTCACAGTTGAGTGGGACTCAGGTGAAGGTGCTGAGCCAAGTGCAGAGCTGTAGGAAGCCCCAACGGCGTGGCCCCCCAATGACTGGGCGTTAGCCAGGCAGACTACCTGTAGGGTGGGGTATTGGAATTCTAGGCCAGAAATTCGGGAAAGCCCTTACTTAGGTGACAGGTGCCCTGGCCCTTTGAGCCCCCGACCCTCTAACTTCCTCCCTTCCTCATCCCACTCCAGGTAGCTGGAAAGCCAAGAAATTTTATGGTGTATGATTTTTGGTGGGGGGTGGAGGTAAGGCTTGCCATGGTAAGCAGGGCCAGATTGAGAAGAGTTGGGCCCCTTTCTCTTTGAAGTACTTCACTTCTATGTGGGTATCTGTACAAATACATTTATTTCCTTTGCAATTATTGAAAACTGTTAAAGACTTTATTTAGTTTTGATTTTTAAAAGAACCCTGGCAAGGCTGGGCGTGATGGCTCATGCCTGTAATCCCAGCACTTCAGGAGGCCAGGGTGGACAAATCACCTCAGGTCAGGAGTTCGAGACCAGCCTGGCCAACATGGCAAAACCCCATCTCTACTAAAAAGACAAAAATTAGCTGAGCATGGTGGTGGACACCTATAATCCCAACTACTTGGGAGGTTGAAGCAGGAGAATTGCAGTCAGCCAAGATTGCGCCACTGTACTCCAGCCTGGGTAACAGAGTAGGACTCCATCTCAGAAAGAAAAAGAAAAAAAAAAAAAAAAAGAGGGGGCGCATCAGCTCACACCTGTAATCCCAGCACTTTGGGAGGCCAAGGCCCGGCGGATCACCTGAGGTTGGGAGTTTGAGACCAGCCTGACCAACATGGAGAAACACTGTTTCTACTAAAAATACAAAAATTAGCTGGGTATGGTGGTGCATGCCGGTAATCCCAGCTACTCGGGAGGCTGAGGCAGGAGAATCACTCAAACCCAGGAGGTAGAGGTTGCAGTGAGCTGAGATCACGCCATTGCACTCCAGCCTGGGCAACAAGAGTGAAACTCCATCTCAAAAAGAAAAGAAAATATGGCTGGGCGCGGTGGCTCATGCCTGTAATCCCAGCACTTTGGGAGGCTGAGGTGGGCGGATCACCTGAGATCAGGAGTTCGACACCAGTCTGACCAATATGGTGAAACCCCATCTTTATATATAAAAAAAAGAAAATATGGTAGAAAAAAAAGACAGCGGTAGTGCCACATCTCCAGTGCATCTGTAGTGATTAGACCATAGAACATGGACTTGCATGCAGATATTGAAGAATCTGGCTCTTTGCATATGGTGAGGTACGCCTGCAGAATAAAAGCAGCTCCTTTGTAATGTGATGCGAAGAGCACTAAGTGTCACAGAGGTGTTAGAACAGGAGAAAGTGTCTTCCAGGGACACCAGGGAGCCTCCATAGGGAGACAGCAGCCCACGTCTCAGAACGTTTGTGGTAGAGGGGTGTCCAAAGGTAGCGAGGTTTGAGGGGAGGGTTGGCTTGGCTTCTTGCTGCAGCCTTTTACTGTCTTGTGTTAATGATACCCACTCACCTTTCTTACAACAGTAAGCCAAGGGTGGCTGTGTCCTCTGCCACAGACTTCACTGGCTCTGCCCTTGTTAGTTTGCAGAAAGCTGGATGGGCTACTCGGGTCCTGGCTATGGCATCCTCAGCTTGGTGGTCTCCGAGAAGTATATCTGGTGCCTGGACTACAAAGGTGCCCTGTTCTGCAGTGCCTTGCCGGGCGCCGGGCTGCGCTGGCAGAAGTTTGAAGATGCTGTCCAGCAGGTGGCAGTCTCGCCCTCAGGTTTGCCCCCGCGCTCCCTGCTCTCGCTCCCCATTCCTGGGTGCAGACATCTTAGCACAGGGCTCCCCTGAGCATTCAGCAACTTTGCCTCTTCCGAGAGGTTTGACGGGCTTTCCTCCAAAGAATGTGAATTGCTGCATTGGATGTCAACTCACAGTGTAAATGGGTGTTCAGTTTGAGTGTTTGTTTTCTTTATTAATTGCACTGGTAACCTCTGATTATATTTTTGTAAGCTAGTAAGCTGGACAGAAAGTTTGAAATTTGAGGGATTTTTAGGGATATTAATATACTATTTATAAAAATAATATGTTTCTCTTTGTCAGTGTTGCTTTAAAGCAACCGAACCACGAAGGCGGGCCTGTGGATATGTTGGATTTATTCCAATTATTTGGCTTCCTCTTTAGAAATTCTGTTTTAATGAGCTCTCTGCTCCGGGTGAGCAGTCTACTCCCTGACTCTAGAAGGAAAGTCCATTCATTCTTTCATGCTGCTGTTAGGTCATTGGTGGTGAGTGGGAGCCAGTGTTTCCTGAACAAGGTTCTTCTGGGCCGGAAGACCTCCCTTATCTGCGTGGAATAATTTGTTTTCCTTAAGGTTGTGTTGGCCACATCAGCATCTCCGCCCGTGGGGGTGCTTTTGCCTTGAACCAGCCCGGTTTATTGTCTGGATGTTGGGATAGAAGTCAGACGAAGCCAACGTTGAGTCTCCGACTTGGGACCTGTCGGTCCTCTGTAACTTCACTGTGTTTCGAAATGAATTTCCCTTACATCTCCCTGGTCTTTGTCACTGTTTAAAATTTTAGTTTGTTCTACGTTGTTTTGCTCGCTTGCTTTCACTGCTTGTTTGAAAAATATGTTTCTTTAGAGACTGGCTAGCAAGCCACTCCGCAGGCTGGCATTACACAATTGTGCATTTTAACTCATTTCTTGTTGCTGTCATTTACTGTCAGGTTTGTCTCTTTGGCCTTTTAGTGGGTTCTACTCCTGATTCCATTCATTGCTTGTATTCCCAGGCCCCTTGGTCCCTCACAGTGCTAGCGGGAACTCTCCATCTCCACGAGATTCACGTGCTCAGCTGTGGTGTCCTTCAGGGCTCAGGCCCATGTCCTTGGTGGGCGGCAGAGCCCTTGTGCCAGGGGTACCACAGGCAAAGATGCCCAACAGGCCCTCTGGTCCAGCCCAGGCGATGGTCGGTGATTGCCGGTGGCCCCACACCTTGCCTGTGTCGGCCTGCACCAGGCCTCCACCTGCAGTGCTGTCCTGCCTTCCCTTTCCTCTCTCCTCCTCCGTCTCTTCATCAGAGTCCCCTTTGCAGTGAAAACAGGCCGACTTAGCACAAGCATGTTCTTTCTGTGAATCCTTTCCATTCAGCTCGTCCAGAACTGATCCCTCCCTTTGCATCCCTAAAGGACTTTTTCAGCCTCTCCTAGAGCACTAGCTGTGTCTCAGGATGTTTATTTGGGGACTTATCAAACCTAATAATGTCATCAGTGTTTCTCCCCTGTGTGAGGAGCACCTGCCATGTGCCCAGCTCTGTGGCCATGCAGTTGGTCTGCTCCCACCGCCAGTCTGTAGCACAGCCCTGTTGGGGGGGATGATCCCCATTGCCCAGGAGGAAAGTGAAGCTAGGAGGTGGGCAGGAACATGGAGCCTGAAGCCACACAGCCACTAAGTGGTGGCCAAGGGCCCAAACCTGGGTCTGGTGGCCTCTTTCCCCACTTGGGGGGACAGAACAGGATGCGTTTTAGAAATCTTTCTCCCCTCAATGCCCAGCATGAAGCCTTTTATGTAGAAATATATTCTAACATTAGTTGAACAGTGAATAGAATTTTTATTTCCATAGGAACCCTGCTCTGGAAGATTGAACAGAAATCTAACCGGGCTTTTGCTTGTGGGAAAGTCACCATCAAGGGGAAGCGGCACTGGTATGAAGCCCTGCCTCAGGCGGTGTTTGTGGCCCTGAGCGATGACACGGCCTGGATCATCAGGACGAGCGGGGACCTGTACTTGCAGACAGGTAACTGCGGGCTGCGCTCAGGGGCCTGCTGGCTCTGCTGTCACTTCCTCTGCTGCACCCTACTTTGCCAGTAACATGCTTACAACAGTCACTGTCATTAAGAGGCTAAAAATCCATTCGAATTAAGACACCTCTGGGAAGAGAGTATTTGCCACTTGGTATGTATTAGCAGTTTCCTGCTATTGACACAAACTCAACCTGGGACAAATTTAGGGCAAGAATGAATAGGATTATTTGGTGAGATACAGAAACCACCGCATATCATGTATCCTGCAGTGTCAGATCTTAAGAGGAAAGAATACAGAGGAAGGACGTAAAATTCATTTCCCCCTTTAAGCTAAGGCTGAAGTGGCTGCATTTTTTGTTCAGCCATACCAAAGCCCAGCCTATGCCTTATTTACCTGTGGGTCAGGAAAAAAAAAAGAAGAAATAATTTTCTCTTCTTTATTTTGAGATGGAGTCTCTGTCTCTCTCTCTTGCCCAGACTGGAGTGCAGTGGTGCCATCTCGGCTCACTGCAACCTCTGCCTCCCAGGTTCAAGCAATCCTCCTGCCTCAGCCTCTTGATTCCAGTCTGGGATTACAGGTGTTCACCACCACACCCAGCTAATTTTTTTGTATTTTTAGTAGAGATGGGGTTTCACCATGTTGGCCAGACTGGTCTTGAACTCCTAACCTCAAGTGATCTGCCTGCCTCAGCCTCCCAAAGTGCTGGGATTACAGGTGTGAGCCACCATGCCAGGCCATAATTTGCTCTAAAAGGCAGTTTAGGTCAGGTGTGGTGGTTTATGCCTGTAATCCCAACACGTTGGGAGGCCGAGGCAAGTGGATCACCTGAGGTCAGGAGTTCAAGACTAGCCTCACCAACATGACGAAACCCCATCTCTACTAAAAAGAAAAAGAAAAAAGAAAAATTAGCTGGGCATGGCGGTGCCTGCCTGTGTAGTCCCAGTTACTTGGGAGGCTGAGGCACGAGAATCATTTGAACCTGGAGGCAGAGCTTGCAGTGACCTGAGATGGCACCACTGCACTCCAGCCTAGGAGACAGAGTGAGACTCCGTCTAAAAACGAAAATAGCAGTTCAGCAAGTCACAGGAAGCTGCCTTCAGGGAAGCCTTTAGCTACTGGAAGGGGCACCCTAGGACTTGCTTATTAAAAATCAGCTGTAAGGATGGTCAGTGTTTACTGTCAGCAGAATGCAGAAGGATCTTCTACAAGCGATGTGATTTATCAGTATCTGGGAAGGACTGTGGGGCAGGAGATACTTTCGGTTGTCAAGAAACCATTGTCAGATTTATGTAAAGACCAGTCTTCCAGATGTTTAACATTGCTGACTCCAGGAGAATGTTGTTTTTATTTTTACTTTTTGGGGGGGATGGAGTCTTGCTCTGTCACCCAGACTGGAGTGCAATGGTGTGATCTAGGCTCACCACAACCTCTGCCTCCTGGTTCAAGTGATTCTCCTGCCTCGGCCTCCCGAGTAGCTGGGACTACAGGCATGTGCCACTGTGCCCTGCTAATTTTTGTATTTTTAGTAGAAATGGGGTTTCACCATGTTGGCCAGGCTGGTCTCAAACTCCTGACCTTGTGATCTACCCACCTGAGCCTCCCAAAGTGCTGGGATTACAGGTATAAGCCACCATGCCCGGCCTCAGGAAAAAAAAAAAATTTTTTTTAAGACAGAGTCTCGCTCTGTTGTCCAGGCTGGAGTGCAGTGGCATGATCTTGGCTCACTGCAACCTCCACTTCCCGGGTTCAAGCGATTCTCAAGCCTCAGCATCCTGAGTAGCTGGGACTATAAATACCCACCACCACACCCGGCTGATTTTTTGCATTTTTAGTAGAGATGGGGTTTCACCATGTTAGCCAGGATGGTCTCACTCTCCTAACCTCGTGATCTGCCTGCCTCGGCCTCCCAAAGTGCTGGGATTATAGGCGTGAGCCACCGCGCCAGCCTCAGGAGAATGTTTTAATCTCCGCCATGAGCCGTCAGCTGGGGATGAGTCTTCAGGTCGAAGCCCTTGTCCAGCTGGCTTACTCCAGGGTGCTTGAGAACCTTCAGCCCAGGCGCACAGCCATACTGGCTTCACAGGCCATGATCTGGCCCAGGTTTCTCCAGCCTAGTTCCTGTGTCTTCCTTTAAATGAAAGTAGCTCTGGCAAGGCACATGCACATCTAAGCTGCCAGGACATTTGAACTTTGATCATGGGGGAGACGGGAGGTGTGTCTGGCCTGGGGGTGAGGAGCGAGTGACCTCTTAACCAGTAGCCCCAGAGGAATCACCAGGACAGTCAGTAGCTTCACATGAGCTGACCCCACCCAGACCTGTTGGGTTAGGTCCAGTCCTTCTGGGGATTGCTCAGGAATGTGTCATGTAACAAGTCCTGAGGGGATTCCCACCTAGTTTAGTGCAAGGAAGTATAACCCAAGGACTGCAATACCACAGGTGCGTTTGTGATTAGTCATGGGGCACATCTGAGTACTGAGACCTAATTGCGGGCCTCAGGCCTTGGAATACAGGGTTTTAGGCGACAGTTGGTCTGTCTACTCCCCTGGGAATAGCCTTTGAGCTCATTTAGACATACTTTATGGACAAGGCTTTATGGACAAGCCACAAGGAGGCAAGGGAAAGAGCACTGGACAGGGAGTCAGGGACCCTGAGCTTTGGCCTGACACTGCCTTCCACTTTGACAGACCTCAGATTTCATCTGGGAGACTCAGGGTTTTCATTTTATTAGTGGAGCCCTGCACCCAGTCAGAGCAGAGGGGAGCCACCGTGCTGGAGCTCCCTGCAGGGAAGGCCGCAGGCCTCAGGTCCCTGCCCACTGCAGCCGTGCTGCCTGGAAGGGCTGCTCTGCCCTGCGGCCTCTGGCCTCCATCTGGCCGCTGTCCTGCTCTTGGCTTTTGTGTTCTTCTATCACAACTTCTTGTGCTACATTGGGACACCACAGAATTCTGAATTGTTCAGTTTTCAAAGGGTGTCTAAAACTGCTTTCCGGTGGATGTTACATTTAGACAGAATGTAACCACTTTATGTTGACTAAACTTGACAACGAAAAAGTGGCTGAACAGGGCAGTTCCCGCCTGTAATCCCAGCACTTTGGGAGGCTGAGGTGGGTGGATCACCTGAGGTCAGGAGTTCAAGAACAGCCTGGCCATCATGGTGAAACCCCATCTTAAAAAAAAAAAAGAAAAGAAAAAAAATTAAATAACGTTTTTTTTTTTTAAAGCACTCATTGTGAAAGAATGTAGCAAAATACCAGAAAAGGAAAAATAAAAGCCAATAACTAAGTCAAAATGAGGTGTGGAGTTCTGACTGTGTGTCTTTGGGGGCCTCTTCCCATCTTCCTGGCAGCTCTCAGCGTGGATCGCCCCTGTGCCAGAGCCACGAAGGTGGACTGTCCCTACCCGCTGTCCCAGATCACAGCCCGGGACAACGTGGTGTGGGCACTGACGGAGCAGAGGGCCCTCCTGTACCGGGAGGGCGTGAGCAGCTTCTGTCCGGAGGGCGAGCAGTGGAAGTGTGACATTGTCAGGTACTGGTGGCCGGAGACTCCTTCAGCATCTTGCTTGTCTTACCCTTCGTTCTTGTCCGCTTGACTCGGCAAGGCACCATGAGGCTGATCCTGGGCGGTCCTTTCCAGGAGCTTCCATGGCTATAGGCTAATCTGGAATCACCAGAGGTGATTTCTGCAGCATGACCTTAGAGAAACTCTACCTAATTCTGACCAGCAAACTGGACATTGAGTCAGAGCTGAATGTTTAAAAATGCTGCTGCTGTCTGTGCAGCCCTGAGCATCATGGCATCATGAGTCTGTCATGACAGTCTCGACTGAGAACTGCTCACCACCAGGTCGTTCTGGTTTAGTGTCTGTGACAACTTAGGTCCAAATATTTGTTTTGTTTTCATGCTAGATAATTGAAATTGATCTCTAAACTGTAACTTTTTTTTTTTTTTTTTTTGAGATCAAGTCTCGCTCTGTAGCCCAGGCTGGAGTACAGTGGTGCAATCTTGGCTCACTGCAACCTCCGCCGCCCGGGTCCCAGTTCAAGCAATTCTCCTACCTTAGACTCCCAAGTAGCTGGGATTACAGGCACGAGCCACCATGCCCAGCTAATTTTTGTATTTTTTTTTTTTTTTAAGACAGGGTTTCACCATGTTGGTTAGGCTGGTCTTGAACTCCCGACCTTAGGTGATCGGCCTGCCTTGGCCTCCAAAGTGCTTGGATTACAGGCATGAGCCATCATGCCCAGCCTAATTTTTGTATTTTTTAGTAGAGATGGGGTTTCACCATGTTGGCCAGTCTGGTCTTGAACTCCTGACCTCGTGATCTGCCTGCCTCTGGCTCCCAAAGTGCTGGGATTACAGGCCTGAGGCACCGTGCCTGTTCTTTCTTTCTTTCTTTTTTTTTTTTTTTTTTTTGATACAAAGTCTCATTCTGTCACCCAGGCTGGAGTGTAGTGCCATGATCACAACTCACTGTAGCCTTGACCTTCCAGGCTCAGATGATCCTCCTGCCTCAGCCTCCTGAGTAGCTGGGACTGCAGGTGCACACCACCATGCCCAGCTAATTTTTGTATTTATTGTAGAGACAGGTTTTCATCATGTTGCCCAGACTGATCTTGAACTCTTGGGCTCAAGCAGTTCTCCTTCTTCAGCCTCCCATAGTGCTGGGGTTACAGGCATGAGCCACTGTGCCTGGCCTGATCTCTGAACTATAATTTAAGCTATTTTTTACCATTCGAGATGTTAGTTATAGAATTCCCATCAGATCATTTTACTAATATGGAATTGTTAATAGTCTTTAGAAAAACTAGATTAGGATATTCTTGGTTTGAATCTAGCAACCCGGTAAACTTAATGAATACCTATTAAGAGCCAGAATGGTCTGGGCATTGTGACTCACACCTGTAATCCCAGCCCTTTGGGAGGCAGAGGCGGGTGGATCACCTGAGGTCAGGAGTTTGAGACCAGCCTGACCAACATGGCGAAACCCTGTCTCCACTAAAAATACAAAATGAGCTGGCTGTGGTGGTGGGTGTCTGTAGTCCCAGCTACTTGGGAACCTGAGACAGGAGAATTGCTTGATCTGGGAGGTGGAGATTGCAGTGAGCTGAGATTGCCCCATTGCACTCCAGCCTGGGCAAAAAGAGCAATACTTGGTCTCAAAAAAAAAAATGCTAGAATGATGCTAGAGGCTGGGTGCACCAAGAGGGCTGAGACTGGCCCTTCTGTCACCAGTTCCAGATCTCATGGGGGGCCCCATGCATGGAAGGGCACCCATTAGCACAGGTGGCCCTAAACAGGAGTATGGAGTGTGCAGCCCCGAGGGAACCAAGGAATTCATGCAGCAGTCGGGAAGGCAGCTTGTGGAGTGGACTCACAGCTAAGCCTTGAAGCTGATGAGGACTTCCCCATATGGAGGGAGGGAGAGGGCGTCTCTAGCAGAGAGGCCAGTGTCTGCCCAGGCCCAGTGCACAGAATTGCCTGGCACATCGGGGGAGTTGACAGTCACTCCCTTGGTAAGGGAGGGAGTAGAGAGATGGAGGCATTCAGGGGCCTTGGATTCTTTTTTAGTCCCTAATCACTTTTGCTTAGGTTATTTTCTCTCAAGAGTTTTCTGGCCATTCTGGGTCATCAGTGTGTCTTTCAGAAGCTGCCACCCATGTGAACCATTTATGTTGCATAGTAATTTAACTCAGACTCAAACTTCCTTCCCTGGCACTTGATGACCTGCTCCAAGGTCACATCTCTTCTCGAAGCTGTGCCTACACTCTGGGCACTCTGCCTGTGGGTGCTGACCTCCATGTTCTCCTCCTTATTTCCAGCGAAAGGCAAGCTTTAGAACCTGTCTGCATAACGCTTGGGGATCAGCAGACTCTCTGGGCCCTGGACATCCGTGGGAACCTGTGGTTCAGAACTGGCATTGTTTCCAAGAAGCCACAAGGAGATGACGACCACTGGTGGCAAGTAGGTGTTCAGCTCTGGGCCACGTGCTGAGCTCTCCTTGACCTTTTCTGATTCCCCTTTTCTTACCTCTCTCTTCCTTAAAGATACTGGATTAAATTTAAAATATTCACTTTTTTATTGTTTGTTTTGAAACAAGATCTTCTATCACCCAGGCAGAAGTGCAGTGCCATAATCACAGCTCACTGCAATCTTGACTTCCTGGGCTCAGGTGATTATTCCACCTCAGCCTCCCAGTGAGCTGGGACTATAGGCATGTGCCACCATACCCGGCTAGTTTTTTGTATTTTTATCTTTTTTTTTTTTTTGTATTTTTTTTTGGTAGAGATGGTTTTGCCGTGTTGCCCAGGCTGGTCTCAAACTCCTGAGCCCAAGACCCAGACCCCACACCGGGCACAGTAGCTCACACTTGTAATCTCAGCAATTTGGGAGGCCAAGGCAGGCAGATCGCTCGAGTCCAGGAGTTCAAGACCAGCCTGGGGAACATGGTGAAACCCCATCTCTACCAAAAATACAAAAATTGGTTGGGCATGGTGGCACACACCTTTGGTCCCAGCTACTCAGGAGGCTGAGGTGGGAGGATGGTTTGAGCCCAGGAGGCAGAGGTTTCAGTGAGCCAAGATCATACTACCACAATCGAATTTGGGTGACAGAGCTAGACCCTATCTCAGAAAAAAAAGAAGAGAGAAGAATCCACCTGCCTCCACCTCCCAAAGTACTGGGATTACAGGCCGAGCCACCACGCCCAGCCAATAGTATTCACTTTTTCTATTTGTTGGATTAGACTCTGCTGTGTTTGAGTATGTTAGAGGCATCAAGCACTTTTCATCATAGGAAATAATTTGCAAAACTCTTTGTGTAAATAATGCACTTTATTTATTTTGATATTATTTATAAATTTATTATTATAGGCTAAATAAACCCAGTGACATCCATTTGAAGACCAAGGTAGTAATAATGTTTAATTATGGACAGATGTGCTAAGAAAAAAGCCCAAACAATAGGTTTGAAAGCCTAAAAAATTGAGCTATCTCTGCTTATTAAGAAGGCCTCTAAGTAAATGATATTTCAGCAAAGAAAGGGGAATTTTTCCACATGCTTCCGGAAACGGAAACACTTTAAGAAACAGGATGAGGATATACTCAAGCTAACTTTGTGTGATTTGGTTCCAGCAAGAGCACCTAGAATGGATTTCTCTTTTCTTCTTTCCTGTTGCCCATACAGGTTCGGTGGTGGGTTCACTGTTCACTGGAGCATCCAACTCCTGGGCTGAAGTAATCCTCCCACCTCAGCCTCCCAAGTAGCTGGGACCAAAGGCACATGCCACCATGCCCGGCTAATTATTTTGTTTCTTTTTATTTCTTTTTTACTTTTTTTTTTTTCTGCGATGAGACCTTCTACATCAAACGGCTAATTATTTTGGTAGAGGCAAGGTCTTGGTGTTGCCCAGGCTGGGTCTTGAACTCCTTGACTCAAGCAATCCTCCCGCCTTGACCTCCCAAAGCACTGGGATTATAGGCATGAACTACCACCCTTGACCTAGAATGGATTTTCAAAGGAGCGTCTTCTTTCCCGTCTTTGGTATTGTTTAGTGTTAGCGTAGCTCCCACAGTCTCCCACTGTGGTGGGTAAGGATTGCACTGATAGTCAATAGTCATGAAATATTTTATGTTTCTTCTTTTTTTTTTTTTTTCCCTGAGATGGAGTCTCCCTCTGTTGCCAGGCTAGAGTGCAGTAGCGCCATCTTGGCTCACTGCAGCCTCCGCCTCCCAGGTTCAAGCAATTCTCCTGCCTCAGCCTCCCGAGTAGCTGGGACTACAGGCGTGCGCCACCATGCCCAGCTAATTTTTGTACTTTTAGTAGAGACGGGGTTTTACCATGTTGGCCAGGATGGTCTCGATCTTTTGACCTTGTGATCCGCCGTCCTCAGCCTCCCAAAGTGCTGGGATTACAGGTGTGAGTCACCATGCCCAGGCCAAGTTTGGTGTTTTTTGAGTATCTTGTTCCATTGGTTTACGTTGTATTGCCACCTCAGACTTGCTTTGTTGAAGGCTTGTCTCACATTGACTGTTCTGAGGTCTTTCAGATGAGAATGCAGAAAGTGAGTTGTGTTTGCTCTTTGAGATGTGTTGTATGTAATATATACATTGTGTATAGATATGTCTAATTTAATGTACTAGGAAATATTTGATAGGTATGCAAATGATTTTAAAATACCTTTTGTGTACTTGTAACCATATGTATACATATACACATATATACCTAGATGTGTATATATGCACGAAATTATTTAAGTATCATAAGGAAAACTAGGTATCGTTTTATCATCATATTAAGAACATTAGAGAAGTTTAATTTGACAGAATCGTCTTTGCGGTACTTGAAAGCAGAGTTATTTTAAATACTACAAGATTGGTTTCTTTCTAGTGCCAGAGCTAGTGTTATAGTTTGCTGCAAAACTTTTAAATTTTTGTCCTGCTTGTCTGCACATTTTGGGTGCTGGGACTGACTGTGGTAACTTTGTGGCAGTGTGCTGGGTCTCCCAGAAGGGCTGCAGTGTGCAGACCCTCAGAGCTCATTTCCAGAGCATGCGATGGGGAGTGCAGCCAGGCTGGCCGAGAGTGCCCTGGAGTGCAGAACAGAGCTACAGGCTCTGCCTCGGGGCCTGTGGCCTGACATGGTAGAGACCCTCCGGTAAACTTCGGTGAGATCAGTGCGTTAGTGAGCATGAGTCCTTCCATAGAGGGGAAAGGGAAGGATTTGTACATGTTTTAAAGTACCAACTTTTACAATCATTTCCTTTTTGTTTCATTTTTTTTGAGATGGAGTTTCGCTCTTGTTACCCAGGCTGGAGTGCAGCGGCTTGATCTCGGCTCACAGCAACCTCTGCCTCCTGGGTTCAAGCAATTCTCTTGCCTCAGCCTCCTGAGTAGCTGGGACTACAGGCACACACCACCATGCCCAGCTAATTTTTTGTATTTTTAGTAGAGATGGGGTTTCACCATGTTGACCAGGATGGTCTCAATCTCGACCTTGTGATCCACCCACCTCAGCCTCCCAAAGTGCTGGGATTACAGGCGTGAGCCACCACGCCCGGCTTGTTTTTGTTTCTTATAAATTAGGTTCCCAGCCAGGCGTGGTGGCTCAGGCCTGTAATCCCAACACCTTGGGAGGCCAAGGTGGGAGGATTGCTTGAAGCCAGGAGTTTAAGACCAGCCAGGTCAGCAAAGAAAGACTCCATCTCCACCTAAAAAAATTTTTTTTTTTTTTGATACAAGAGTTTCACTCTTATTACCCAGGCTGGAGTGCAATGGCATGATCTCGGCTCACCGCAACCTCCGCCTCCTAGGTTCAGGCAATTCTCCTGCCTCAGCCTCCTGAGTAGCTGGGATTACAGGCACATGCCACCGTGCCCAGCTAGTTTTTTTTTGTATTTTTTTTAGTAGAGACGGGGTTTCACCATGTTGATCAGGATGGTCTCGATCTCTTGACCTTGTGATCCACCCGCCTCGGCCTCCCAAAGTGCTGGGATTATAGGCTTGAGCCACCGCGCCCGGCCCTCCACCTAAAATTTTTTAAAAATTAGACAGGCATGATGGCACATTCCTATATTCCCAGCTCCTTGGGAGGCTGGGGTGGGAGGATGGTATCAGCCCAGGAATTTGAGGCTGCAGTGAGCTGTAATTGTGCCCTTGTGTTCCCACCTGGGCAACAAAGTGAGACCCCATCTTAATAAATAAATAAATTAGGTTCCCTATAATAAGTGATGTCACTTTTTCTCATATTTTATTGTGTGTGACCTGGGGATATGGCCTGCATGAGGCTGTCATAGGAGAAGGGCATTATTTATTTTTATTTATATTTTTTGGAGATGCGGCTCACTCTGTCGCTCAGGCTGGAATGCAGTGGCATGATCTCGGCTTACTGCAACCTCCACCTCCCAGGTTCAAGCAATTATCCTGCCTCAGCCTCCCGAGTAGATGGGGTTACAGGCATGTGCCATCACACCAGGCTAATTTTTGTAGAGTAAGGGTTTCACCATGTTGGCAGGCTGGTTTGGAACTCCTGACCTCAAGTAATCCACCTGCCTTGGCCTACCAAAGTAGTGGGATTATAGGCGTGAGTCACTGTGCCTGGCCAGGAGTAGGGCATTTATGCCAGTGATGTTCTGTGTAATCCAACCCAGCAGTGCAGAAATGTGAGTGAACATCAGTGGAGAATCAGATTTCCACTCATAAACAACTTGCCTTACAGCTGGGGTTAGACTCTAGATACTCAGGACCGGCCTAGTTGATGCTGTTGCCCTGCACTGATTATTAGTAGTCCCAATTCAGATTATAAATTAGTTGTTCAAAGCTGGGCGTGGTGGCGCATGCCGTAATCTCAGCACTTTGGGAGGCCAAGGTGGGCAGATCACCTGAGGTCAGGAGTTCAAGACCAACCTGGCCAGTATGGCGAAACTCCATCTTTACTAAACATATAAAAAATTAGCCGGGTGTGGTGGCATGCACCTGTAGTCCCAACTACTTGGGAGGCTGGGGCAGGAGAATCTCTTAAACCCAGGAGGCAGAGGTTGCAGTGAGCCAAAATTACGCCACTGCACTCCAGCCTGGGTGACAGAGCATGACTCTGTCTTGAAAAAAAAAAACAAAAAATTAGTTCATCACACTACTTGTCATACCTTTTTAAATAAATGCTCATCATGTTCCTAAGTACCGTATACTGTTGTCAACTGGAAATACCTGAATTTAAAAGCAAAATTGAAGCCAGGTGCAGTGGCTCATGCCTATAATCCCAGTACTCTGGGAGGCCAAGTCAGGAAGATCGCTTGAGCCCAGAAGTTCAAGACCAGCCTGGGCAGCACAGGGAGACCTGTCTCTACAAAAAATTTAAAAATTGGCTAGGTGGGCTGGGCACGGTGGCTCATGCCTGTAATCCCAGCCCTTTGGGAGGCTGAGGTGGGCGGATCACGAGGTCAGGAGTTCGAGATCAGCCTGGCCAACATGGTGAAACCCCGTCTCTTCCAAAAATTACAAAAATTAGCTGGGCATGGTGGTACATGCCCATAATCCTAGCTACTTGGGAGGCTGAGGCAGGAGAATTGCTTTAACCCAGGAGGCGGCGGTTGCAGTGAGCTGAGATTGTGTCATTGCATTCCAGCCTGGGTGACAAGAACAAGACTCTGTCTCAAAAAAAAAAAAAAAGAAAAATTGACTAGGTGTGGTGGCATTCACCTGTATTTGGAAGACTGAGGTGGGAGGATTGCTTGATCCTGGAAATCAAGGCTGAGTATGATTGAGCCACTGCACTCCAGCCTGGATGTCAGAGCAAGACTGTCTCAGAAAAGATGGCAAAATTATTCTTTCTCGCTCTGATTAGAATGAAAGTCTTCTTAGAAGGGGTGTGTGGGGGGGTGATATTTAATCACAAATGTAATACCTGCTTGTAAAAGATCCATGTTATGTAAAAGTGTCTAAAATGTGGATAAATTCTTCCATACTTTAACTCCACCGCTGCGAAGGAGCGGGAGTCAGCGTTAGCGGTTTGCCGGCATCCTGTCACGTTTTTGGTCCTTCCACAAGTGCACATTTGTGCTTGTGGGCCTGGGCCGGAACCTTCCCTCGAAGCGGAGCGTCTACACTGTAGTTGCTCTGACTCGGGGTTTTTCCTTGTCTCCTTCCAGGTGAGCATCACAGACTATGTGGTGTTTGACCAGTGCAGCTTATTTCAGACAATCATCCATGCCACTCACTCGGTGGCCACAGCAGCCCAAGCCCCGGTAGAAAAGGTGGCAGATAAGCTGCGCATGGCATTTTGGTCCCAGCAGCTTCAGTGCCAGCCAAGCCTTCTCGGGGTCAATAACAGCGGTGTCTGGATCTCCTCGGGAAAGAATGAATTCCACGTGGCTAAGGGAAGCCTCATTGGTGGGTGAATTGCTGTATGTTTCACACTGGCTTTATAGGCAGCCTCACTTTAAAGCCAACATTTAAGGGAAGCTTAAAGATCTCAACTTGAAAAGCTCAGCTAGTGCCAGCAGTATGAAGTGTCTAGTGGGGCCCTCTTCATGCTTTGTGATCAGTTTCTCTCCTTTTTAAAAAATCTGTCATTCCTAAAACTTGGATCCCTGAGTCTGGAGAGTGTGTTTCCCCTGGAAACCTTTCATGGCTTAAGAAAAGCAAATGGAGGTCATTTTTATGTTAACAGTTTCACATTTTAAGTGAAAAAAATCCACCTAAACCTGAAGAGCCTAGGGAGAGAGTGGTCCGTTTCCTGGAGGGAAGGTGGTGGCCACTGCTGGAAATGCAAGGCTCTGGCCAGGTCTGTGAATGTCGACGCTGGTCCATGCATCCCGGGGTTCGTTTCTGTGAGTGAAGCCCTTGCTTTGTGAATTTTCTCCAACCGTCTCCCTGCTGTGTGACCTTCTTGCTCCTGGGCTAGATGTGGCTCTGCCTGGCAGTGTTCAGACAGAAATGAATGGCAGGCTCTGACGGCTCATGTCGTCGAATTTAGGGACACTCTAGAATTATCTGGAGAAGGGGTTTGAAGGCCAGCTGTCGTGTAGAACTAGGCCCTGAAGTGGTTTTGTCGGTCTTCTTTCTCTAACACATTCTTCCCATTTACTCTTTCCAGGCACTTACTGGCATCATGTTGTTCCCCGTGGGACAGCTTCTGCCGCAAAATGGGCCTTCGTGTTGGCTTCTGCGGCTCCCACAAAGGAAGGTGGGTCAGTCTTAGCCTCGCCGAGAAATCTAGAGCACAGCTTCACTGCTGGAAAGGTTCAAACCACGGTCCGACTGTGGCCTCATTCGTGATGGGGTGCGCCTCTGAGACCAACCACGTAGGGGTGTCACAGGTGTCACAGGCCCGTAGCCCCTGTTAGCTGAGCCTAGGGCCCTGAAGGGGATAGTCCTGACCAGGAGAGCTGCTGAGAGGGACCGAGCAGCATGAAGATGAGGGAAAGTACCCTTCTGAAGGACGAGCTTACACTGCGGCCACCAGGGCCCACAACTGGTGACTTCCAGCAGCACATGGCAGGGGCCACAGCTTCTTCAGGCACCTTCCCATCTCCCCTCCAGAGTCCTTCTGTCACCTCCCAGCAGCCTCTTTCCATCTTGTTCACAGACTCTGGATCACATAAGTCCCACATTTGCACCCCATTAGGCAGACCTACCTTGCAGGGAGTGCTCCTGCCCACATTCCTGGGCAGAACTTAGTGTCCCTTACAGAGCACGGGGTTCATGAGGGAGCCAGAGCATGGGAGGGTGGGGAGCTGGCATCTGTGGCCAGGAGAGGCAGTTTCCCCACCCAGTTAGCTGGGAGCCCAGGCAGTCAGGTGACCTCTCTGGGAAGTAGCTGTACCTCCTCCCCGGATTGCACTGAGGGTTAAACTTGAAGACACGATGAAATCTGTGATCAAGAGGGAATCATTTGGTTGGTTCAAACCGTTAGTCCCACTAGGATGCAGGTCATTGGGTCACTACAGTAACTTCTTACTCACCAGATTGTTGGGACCACAGTTCTGAAACCTAGAAATCTCTGAAAACACTAAATTATTTCTTAAGTTTGGCATAAATTGATTTGGCAGTCAAACTTGACTGGGTCTCACACAGGGCTGCCTCCAGCCTCCGTGGATCTGTTGGCTGTGACTGTCTCCGTGCTGGTGCAGGACTGTCACTGCACCTCACCAGGGAGCGCCAGGCCCTCAGGGTTGTTCTGTAAACCTATGGCATACCTGTTAGCTAAGGTTTTCAAAACTCCAGAAAAGGTTTGAATTCCAAAACGTGTGGCCGCAAGTTATAGATAATACCTCAGATAGTGTGCTGTGACCAAGCTTTTAACTGCCCTAAGGATTCTTTGCATTTTAAACAGAATCTGTTATACCTAAAGGACTTTTTTTAAATGCTGGAGGGAATGAAAAGACACGATTTTGAGGCAGCGATAGGAAGAGAAGCATTTCCAGCTCTCTAAACCTTCTCCAGCAGGTGGCCTACCCTCCAGCCCCATCACCAGGAGGCCTAGGAGAGCGCCTTGGCACCATCCTTCCCAGGAACTGCCAACCCTCTTCCAGGGCCCTGAGTTGATAGTCTTCTCTTCTCAGTAAAATTAACATTCCATATGAAAAATGCTCTGGTGCCTCCGTTCAAGTGAAAAACTTCCCAGCCCATGAAAATGGGAGGCCAGAACCAGTAAGCCGACATTACGGCCTTCGTAAAATCTCCTAAGCCCTGCCTTCTTTCCATTTCTTTCAAACATCTCAGGCCTGTTTCTTGTTGGTTGTGGTGCTTGCCTCTGACTTCTTAAAGTGCTGCACCACTCCTGCCCGCATGGGAACGGGCAGGTGAGTGAGCGGCACCGCGGCCAGGTGGACGGCATCTGCCAGAAGGCAACAGCTGCCTTGTGCATTTAGGGCGGGCAGCTTGGAGCAGACAGCGCCATGATGACAAACATGTCCCTTTTCGCAGGGAGCTCCCTGTGGTTGTGCCAGAGCAGCAAGGACCTCTGCAGTGTCAGCGCCCGGAGTGCACAGTCACGGCCCTCCACGGTGCAGCTGCCTCCCGATGCCGAGATGCGCGCCTACGCCGCCTGCCAGGATGCGCTGTGGGCGCTGGATAGCCTCGGCCAGGTGTTCATCAGGACGCTCTCCAAGAGCTGCCCCACAGGCATGCACTGGACCAGGCTGGACCTCTCCCAGCTAGGTATGGCCGTCTCGTGAGTATGCCTGGTGGAGCCCTGACTGCCCTCAGACTGCACCAGAGCATCATGTCGAACAAAACTGCCCAGCCTGTGTTCAACTTGTGAGAGTTCTGAGAGGATATTTATAAGTTGCTGGATGTCAGGAGCTCACTTGGCTGCTACTCCAGACTAGACAGGCTCTGGGTTTTGTCCCTTCCCTGCCCCTTAGAGTTTGCAGGGCTGTCAGAACCCCAGGAGAGCGTGCGTCCTCAGGTTAAGGGGCCATTCGCTGAGAGCAGCTTGAAGGATACTGGTGATGCAGCTGCCCCTGTCGGTCTGTCTGAATGTGGGGCATAGCTCTATGGCCTTAAAAGCTGGAAAGATGGGCGTTCCCTACGATGGGATCAGTGCCACATTTGTCCATCTCCTCAGGACAGTGCCTGGCAGAGGAGAGTGGCTCAGCACACCGGTGCCAGCTCTCTCTTCAGCTCAGCCAGATCCAGGAGGACCTGCACCGAGTAGCTTCTGCTTTTCTCTGTATCTCCCTTCAAAAGCCACAGAGTAGGCTAAAAAATGTAGTGCTATTTGTAGGCCAGGCACAGCGGCTATAATCCCAGCACTTTGGGGGGCTAAGGTTGGTGGATCAGGAGTTCGAGACCACCTGGCCAACATGGTGAAACCCCATCTCTACTAAAAATACAAAAAAAATTAGCTGGGCATAACAATGCATGCCTGTAGTCCCAGCTACTTGGGAGACTGAGGCAGGACAATTGCCTGAACCTGGGAGGTAGGGCTTGCAGTAAGCCAAGATCACACTATTTATTGCATTCTAGCCTGGGCAACAGAGTGAGACTCCATTTCAAAAGAAAGAAAAGAGAGAGAGAGAGAGAGAGAGAGAGAGAGAGAGAGAGAGAGAGAGAGAGAGAGAGGAAAGGAGGGAGAGAGGGAGGGAGAGAATGTAGTGCTATTTGTAAATAATTCATTCATGTTCCAAGAAATAATAAAATAAGCCAACAACATTAGATTTCTCTCTAATAGATTCTTGGTGGATCAGGCAGCATAAGTGTGGTTTACCTGAAGGTGGAACTGTGCAGATGGCTCCCAGGGCCCTGGGTGAGCCCTGCGCTTGCATCAGAACTGACTCAGCAGGACTGACTCTGGAACTTCCTGGTTATAAGGTTTCCAAGTTTTTTAATTTACAACCAGCATATGGTTATATTAGTAGACTTGAATTGCGTAAGCATTTAATGTTTGAGAACTGAACCACGTGTACTCACCAAAAGGAAAAAAAAAAAGAGAAGGAGCGGGGAGAAACAAAACAAGAAGACAGGGCACAGTGGCCCACACCTGTAATCCCAGAACTCTGGGAGGCCGAGGCGGGCACAGTGGCCCACACCTGTAATCCCAGCACTCTGGGAGGCCGAGGTGGGCACAGTGGCCCACGCCTGTAATCTCAGAACTCTGGGAGGCCGAGGCAGGCACAGTGGCTCACACCTATAATCCCAGCACTCTGGGAGGCCGCGAGGTGGGTGGATCACCTGAGGTCAGGACTGAAAGACCATCCTGGCCAACATGGTGAAACCCTGTCTCTACTAAAAATACAAAAATTAGCTGGGTGTGGTGGCGCACGCCTGTAATCCCAGCTACTTGGGAGGTTCAAGAATCACTTGAACTTGGAAGGCAGAGGTTGCAGTGAGCTGAGATCCGTGCCATTGTACTCCAGCCTGGGTGACAGAGCAAGACTCTGTCTCAAAAGAAAAATACGAAAAAGAAAGCAAGAAGAGAAGGGCTTCTCCTCCTCCTCCCCAGGCTCCTGGCTGCATTGCAGTCCGTATGCTCCCAGCTGACGAGGAGAGCCTTGTAAAGCAAGCATTGTCCTAGGCAGCCTGGCAGTGGCCGCTGCGCTCAGCCCCAGGGGCTCCTACAGGGTGCTGAGTGGACGTCACCCATTCTTTTGCCTGAAAAGGCCTCTGAGGATTAACTCAACTGAAAGAAGCAAGTTCTGTTCCAGGGCTTGGGGTTGTCTGGGTAATTTTTGTTCTTTGTGCTTTGGGCCTCCCCACTGCCTTTTGGACCCACCAGTCACCGTCTAGCTTCTTGAGAACAAACACCCTCCTCTCCGTGTCACTGACAGTAACTGATCAGACCAGGCTGAGGCTGAGAGAGGCCTGAACACTGGTGCTGGCTGACCTGCCGCCTGCCCTGGGAAGCCTTACGTTTGTTCAGAGACCCTACTGATTCTGAGTCTTTCTCCAGCAGCTCCTCCCCAGACTAACTGGAAAATGCTGCTAGTTCCCTCTGCGGGTAAAAAGTCCAGCGCATGATGTGTGTTCTCCTTACACCTGAATCTTGAGCACTGTCGGAGGCCATGTTCACCTGCACTGTTTGGGTGAGAAACAGGACTGGTTCCCTTGCACGGCTCCTTGCCAGCCCCTCCAGGAAGGCTCCTGCACTATGGCAGGCTTCAGAGTAAACGGGCGTCATGCCAGGTTCTGCACTGCTGGAGCCAGCCCTGGTTGGGCCTCCCACCTCCAGTATAGCTCGTGCCCCCTCCTGACTCAGTCCAGTCCTCCCAGCACTGGCTAGCTGGCTCAAGTTGTGCAGGTCTCTAAGGTGTGTATTTGGGCTTCACGGGAGGTTTCTCTAGGTGAGAAACCTGGCTTCCGTGGGATTGAGTTTCAAGAGTGAGAAGGAAACAGGAACGAGTCTATCATGAGTCCGGGATGGCCTTGGTCCCTCCAGTGTTCAGCAGATATTCGTTGAGGGGATGGGTGTGTGAGCGGAGGGATGGCCTGGGGGTCCTGTTTGCTGTGGATGGGCAGGTTTTGACTAAGCCCCTGTGTCCTGCCTGCAAAATCATTAACAAATCAATGTCAGTATCCAGCTGAGCCTGAAATGGATCAGACAGGCAGTGAGTACAAGGAGGTCACAGGCAGAGGTGTGGGGACTCATGGCAGAGGCAGGACAGAGCTGGGCCCCAGGCAGCTTGCCTTTAACTGCAGTTTCCTCTCCTTTCTTTTTTTTTTTTTTCCAGATGGGGTCTCACTCTGTCACCCAGGCTAAGTGCAGTGGCACGATCTTGGCTCACTACAAGCTCTGCCTTCCCAGGCTTTAAGCAATCCTCCCACCTCTGCCTCCCAAGTAGCTGGGACCACAGGCATGTGCCATCATGCCAAGCTAATTTTTTTTTTCAAGATGGAGTTTCCTTTTGTTGCCCAGGCTAGAGTACAGTAGCACAATCTCAGTTCACTGCAGCCTCTGTCTCCCAGGTTCAAGCAGTTCTGCCTGTCTCAACCTCCCAAGTAGCTGAGATTACAGGTGCCTGCCACTATACCTGGCTAATTTCTGTAGTTTTAGCAGAGATGGGGTTTTGCCACCTTGGCCAGGCTGGTCTTGAACTCTTGACCTCAAGTGATCCGCCCACCTCCACCTCCCAAAGTGCTGGGATTATAGGTATGCGCCACTGTGCCTGGGCCCAGCTAACTTTTGTATTTTGGGTAGAGATGGGGTTTCACCATGTTGTCCAGGCTAGTCTTAAACTCCTGACCTCAAGTGATCTGCCCGCCTCGGCCTCCCAGTCAGGCATGAGCTACCGTGCCTTGCCTTGGTTTCCTCTCCTTTCTAATGAGAGCAGCAGCCCCCGAAGTCCAACCCCCCGGGGGATGCACAGATAAGGGAGGCGTACTGTCTTTAGTGTGAGCCATCTCCCGGCAGCCTGGCCATCCGAAAGCAGTGGCATTCTGCTTGGGGGCGCTCTGTAGCGTTTGTTAGCTGCACAGATCCTCAGGCTGGTGGTGGGGCTTTTGCTTGTGTTGCCCCAGTTTTTGCCATGGGGGAAGAGAGTCCAGCATCTCTTGTTAAAGCACCACCTCGAGTAGTCCTTTTCCTGCCCTGAGCTTTAGATTTTCTTTATCTGAGTTATCTGGTTGATCTTGAAATGTTGAATTAAGACTCCTTTCCCATTTCCTACACATTCTGAGAGAATGTGTCAAGTCCAGGGTTGGCAGCTTTGTGTTGCGATAAGGGAGGTGAGCAGGCGACCAGGATCCGCAGACCATCCCCTCAGCGAATACCTGCTGAGCACTGGACTGGAGGGCCCAAGGCCATCTTGGACTCAGGGTCAACTCGTTCCTGTTTCCCTCTCACTCCTGGGACTCAATCCCACTGAAGCTGGGTTTCTCCCCTAGAAAGAATGGTCACCTCCCCAGCCTTTGCTGTGCCAGGGTAGGGCAGTGAGCATCACCAGGGGCAGCAGATCTGTAGCTATTGGGCTGTCTTCAGGTGTAGTCTGTATCCTGTGGGAAAGGCAGGTGGGTCAAGAGACTTCTTTTTTGTTTGTTTGAGATGGAGTCTTGCTCTGTTGCCCAGGCTGGAGTGCAGTGACATAATCTCAGCTCACTGTTACCTCTGCCTTCTGGGTTCAAGCAATTCTCCTGCCTCAGCCTCCTGAGTAGCTGGGATTACAGGTGCACACAGCCATGCTCGGTCAATTTTTGTATTTTTAGTAGAGACGGGGTTTCACCATGTTGACCAGGCTGGTCTCAAACTCCTAGCCTTAACTGATTCACCTGCCTTGGCCACCTAAAGTTCTGGGACTACAGGCGTGAGCCACTGTGCCCAGCCCAACAGATCTTTTAATAATTCTGTATTTAAGTGAGGGATTACAAGTTTTGAATTCAGGCATGCTGTCTGCCCAGGAGCCCATGTGTGACTGACCGTGCCTGGCAGCTGTGATCAGGCCATGTGCATTGAATGTGCATTGACAATAAAGGAGAGTCATCTGGCTGACCTGGCTTCTGCCTGTGTTACTTATCTGGAATTAATTGGGGTGCTTCATTTCTCTTTTAAAAGTTGGCAGTGGGCCAGGGGCAGTGGCTTACACCTCTAATCCTAGCGCTTTGGGAGGATTGCTTGAGGCCAGGAATTCAAGACTGACCTGGCCAACATAACAAGACCCCACCTCTAAAAATATTTTTAAAAGCCAGCAGCGGGTTGGGGCAGGGTTGGAGAAAAAAATAAATAA